TACAAAATTAATAAAATAATTTGACTTTGACTTAGTTCCTGCAAGATGAATAGAATTTAGACATGAGATTGAGGCTGAGAAGGTCGATGGAACAGTACATTTATAGATGAAATGGTGTGATAACCACATTTGACCTCTTCCAGCTACACAAGGGAAGAGAATGCAACTTCATATCAGCCCGTTGCTGATTTCTGAGGCAGAAGTCAGATATGCCACTACCCTCTAGCCTTCTTTCCATGTTCTGACACAGTCATCCCTCTCACAGAACTGTTATTTCTATATTGGGTCCGATAATCCGTTCCCATGGCCACACAGAACTCACAGATCATATTCATAATTAGTAGGGGTTTACTAGGTAAGTTAGCAGATGACAATCAGTCAGGGTCACAAAATATTAAGAACACAGTTCTTTTGGCTGCATCACCTACTCTAAGACATGGCAGCAGGCATGTCTCTGGCCTTGGTTGCAACTCACCTCCTTGGGTAAGCCATGTCCCGGAAAGTGTCACAAAGCTCCTTAGTGCTGACAGTACCTAAAGGGACCTCATTCTGCAATCCAGCCTCCCAACTAAAGGCACTGCAGTCAGCAGGGCCGGAAGCCCGCTGCTCTGTCTCAGGGTCTCAATGCTGCTGGTCTGCTGCCTCCCCAGGCCAGACTCGTGGAAGCATTCCACACCCGGCTCTTCTTTCTTGGTCGTTGTGGGGTTCTTTCCCTCTATTTCCTAGATGGCTCAATTTGCATCTGTTGGAATGGTAAAAGTGACCAATCCTCTATTTTAGCATCTTCTATGCCCGATTTTCATGTTTCCACCCAGTCATTCGGTGGGAGTTACAAAGACCACAGATAGAAGAGTCGTACCAAGTACTTTTCTTCACCACAGAGGGTAGGGGACCCCTGGTGGCACAGGAATTACTCGTTGAGCCACAGTTCGAAACCACCCAGTGGCTCTGTGGGAGAAAGATGGGGGTTTCTACTCCCCAAAACAGTGATAGCCTCAGAAATTCACAAGGACCTTGTCCTGTAGGGTCGTTCAAGTCAGCATTGACTCCAGGGGAGTGAGTGAGACAGAGGTAGGCAATGACTAAGGAGACCTCTACACAGTTTGCTAGGTTTAAGAAAGAGAGTGCATGGAAAATAGGAAGCCAAGAATGTGTGTGTTTATTTCCATCATTGAAAGAATGCTTTCTCTCACTTTCTTTTCTAAGGTAGGGTCCGTGGAGATACCTTGCCCTCCCCTTTGCTGACAGACACAAATGAGGCCACCTTAACATTTGTTTTAGATACAGAAAATGGTGGCAGAGGCTGTGAGCTCACCTGTACTGCTGTGCAGAGGAACACAGAAGAAGGCAAATATTTCAAGTATTTAATTCCTTCATGTTTTCCGTAGATAAGGGAATAAGCATGGGAAGAGGCTTATTCACTCAGGAGGATCTCTCTAACACCTGCACAGATTCAGGCTAGGGGAGTGTGGCTCTACTGGTAGAGGAAGGCACAATTCACTCTGCCAGATATCCCGACTTGTGTCCCAGCAATGTACCATGTCATGGGTTCATT